CTTTCTTTTATATTAAGTTAAGTAACCTCTTAAAAAATCTATTAGGTCTCTAGAGACTTCTATAATTTTTATAGTGCCGGACGCTCTTAGTAATAACTAGGGTATAGCAGTTTGCGTTCCTATAGGAATAGGTATTTCCTAATAGGTTCGATTTATATTAGTATATATTCTTAGGGTTATAGTAGTAAATACTTTATATTATTTGCGGCAGTTATCTAGGTTTTAAAAAAACTTTGTAAATATATAGTACTCCCTACTAGGGGGTTTATAGTAGAGTAGTATTCCCTTTAGTTTGCAGTTAACAGCTTCTTCTAAAAGGGTTAGTAGAGCTTTTTTAAAAAGCTCTCCTTTTAAAGCTAGGCGTTGGAATTTAGTAAAAAAGATACTAAATTCTTTATTATTCTAGCGGAGGCGGAATAGTTTAGTACAGGAGTTATAGACTTAGTTAGGGTCTCTATATACTTATTCTAAGAGTTCTAGAATAGCTTTAAAATCGGGTAGTTAATAGTTTCCTTTTATAATATATAGCAGGACTTAGGCGTATAGGTTTCCACTTAGATAACTATTTATATAGAATATTTAGCTTTAGAGGTTAGGAAAGCAGTTTTAGTTAACAGTTATTTTCTTATAGATTTAAGAAAGGAAGCAGTAGAGATTCTTTCGGTTACCCGTAAACTTATTAGGGTCGGGTTATTTCTTAGAAAGCCGGGCAGAGGTAGTAGATATATTAGAAGTAGACGGAGGCGTTTGTGCTATATTAGCTGTATTTCCTTTAGTTAGTACTTGCAGCATCGGGGTTTACAGGGCGGTGCGGACGGTAGGTATAGCTATATTAATTGCTCTCTATCTCTTAGTAAGGGCTAAAGCTAGTTTATTTATAAGCTTTTTTATTTCTTTTTTCTAGTATTTACGGACAGCTTATAATTATACCTTTAGTTAGTCGCTCTATTATTTATATTCCTTAATTTCCAATTCTAGGGCTTATATATAGAGTGCGGCTTAGTAGTTTTTAATAAGGCTTTTCTAGGCGGTATTAATATATTTATATATTTAGCGGTAGTACTTATACTATTTATATACGTGGTTAGTAATATAGGCGGCGAACGCGGATTTGCTATCCGGTAGAACTAGGGGGAAAAGGTAGGATATTAGGTCGGTAGTGCAGGTAGATAGCTAGGTGGGTAAGGAGCTATATAATATTATAGTCTCGGGCGGCAGGATTGCCCTAGCTAGCTCGGGTAGGTAGGTAGAAGTAATAACTAAATTTACTACGTGTTCTATAATACACGGCAGGTAGGCAGGTTAAATAATAAGATATAGCTTAAGGAGCTATAAAAAGGCAGGGCGGCAGTTAGCAGGTATACTCCTGCTAAGGCTCGCATAGGCCCTTATAATAAGGCCTCTCGCCGGGTCCTAATATTACGTGTTACGCTATGCAGTAAGCTTTACTATTTAAGCCGTAATATACTATTTTTCTAATAAGGGTTGTTTCCCCCTTAATATAAGCTTTTTTTAACTTTATATAATTATAGAATAGAGGATTAAGGTTCTATAAAGCTTTAATAAAGGCGTTATATATTTAGAACTTGCTTAGGTTTTTAATTTTATACTACTTTATATTATTAATAAAAGTAGGCTATTAGCTAAGCTATTTATTAAGACTAGTACTGCTATATCCTTTCTTAAGCTTTTTAAACTCTATTCTTATATTCTGTTTCTAGTCCTTTACGGTTAGCTAAATGCTTTTAGCTAGCGTAATAATCTTGCCTTAGACTGTGTAAATTCTAATATAGTATTATTTAAACTCTTAGCAGACTGTAATATTAATATATTTAGAAACTTTATTATACTTCTTTCTTTTGCTATTATAAATAGCTTAAAGGCTGTGGAATCTCTGGATTATATCCTTATTTACTAAGTTTAGTAGTTTAGTAATAGTAAAAACTAGGTTTTTAATACTTTTAGGGTTATAGTAGTTCTATATATTATTTTATATAGTAAAATCCTTAATAGAATTAATCTAATCGGTTTAATTATTGCGTGTGTTAAGTATTAGAAGGTTGTAATCTTTAATTAATATTATCGCGATAATTCCTGCAAAATCCGGTGGCAGGAACAGAGCTTTGCTGTAAGTTAAGCATAGAGCTTAGGCGTAGCAAGTTGCCGAGACGTGTAACGGATTGCCGTAAATTCGAGATAAACTGTTATATTTAATCTTAATTATTTAAAGGCCTTAACTTAGTTAATTTCTAAGTTTTTATCTTTAAATATTAAGGTTATAATATTGCTTTTTCTATAACCTCGCTTTTTATAGAATCGGCCGAGGATTATTGCCGCTTTATAAGAACTACTCTATTAAAAGGAGAATTATCTAATTTATTCGTTGCTTATAGTACTATATAGCAGGAGAAGAGCTACCGGGCTTATAACTATCGCACTTAGGTATGCACAGGATAAAGCAGGATTGGAAATAATATTAAGCAGTAGAGTATAATTAATTATATATATATAGTGTCTCTTTTATCGGTTAGGTTACCCCGCCCGACGTTTTATATAGCTTTAATAGCAAGCTTATTAATACAGTTCTTACCTTAGGCCTCCACGGCTAATACCTTAGTCTACGACATCTAATATAAGCACTAGGGTGTAATTTACTTATGTTATCCAGAAAGCCAAGCTTATAGCTATAAGCTGCGGCTCGGCCGTCCTCCCTGCTAGCGGTAGCGATATAATATACTATAATATCGTTCTAACCGCTGTTATAACCTATAAGTATGCTTTTGCATCTTGCTTTAACTATAATACTAGACTATAACTGTGAAATTCATTAGGAAGTAGTGTTATAAACTCTCGTTCACCTAAAGATGCTTCGTCACAGTACGTGCCTGTACTGGTCTTTGAACAGGGTATCCTTCGGAAGGAAGGTTAGCACGGTTAGGCTCGGGCTTACTTACTAGTTGCTGCGCTACAGACTGCCTGTAGACGAGGAAGCGTGAAGTGTATAAGGCCGACGTTGGAACGGGTCAGGGCTTCGGTAGTACCGGGGGTGTGTAACAATTGAATTCGTGATAAGGTTGCCGTAATTGATCCAAGTAAAGTATTGAAAGTCAAAACATGAGTTGAGTACGAAGGAGAGAAAGCAACGCTGAGAACGACCGTGTTCTTATACCTTTCCTTCCTCCGCACAATTTGTCCCTGATCTCTCTGATCCCTCGTGCCAAGCCAGATCACAGAGATCACCGACTCTGTGATCCCTCTGATCCCTCGCGCCAAGCCAGATCACAGAGATCACTCCTGCAGGCTGCCTCAGGCCGCCGCAAGCTGCTGCAGTCTGCGCCACGTGTTGCTGCGCACGTGACTCCTGCCCCGAGTACGGAGTAGCATCAACTTTAAATTAGGAATTTATGTATCATGCTCCCTATTATTGCGCAGTGCATCCAAGATCTTAGCAATACTGCAGTACCTATTGCTTGTACGCCCGAAAACTGCTTCAACACTAAAGAGAGCCTGTTCGTATAAACCCTCTGCTTCCTGCGTTCTACCAGTCTGCTAGAAGAGAACTGCCATATTCTGAGCTGTGTTAAGTGCTGGCATATACGTCTTTACTGCTTCTTGGCCAAGTGCTTTCTTATAGCCTTGCAGCGCTCGCAAGTACATCTTCTCCGCCTCGTCAAGCCGTCCTAGGTATTTGTAGAGCAAGCCCAAGTTGTTGACCGTGTCGAGTGTTGACGTATAGTCTGGTCCCTATGCCTTCTCGAAGCCTTGCAGCGCTCGCAAGTACATCTTCTCCGCCTCGTCAAGCCGTCCCAGGGATTTGTAGAGGTTGCCTAAGTTGTTGACCGTGTCGAGTGTTGATGCATGGTCTGGTCCCCATGCCTTCTCTTTGCCTTGCAGCGCTCGCAAGTACATCTTCTCCGCCTCGTCAAGCCGTCCCAGG